GATCATCAAGTCCAGCTCCTGGCCTGAAGAGTTGTCCAAATGCTTCTTGAACTCTGTCAGGCTTGGTGCTGTGACCACTTCCCTGGGGAGCCTGTTCCAGTGCCCAGCCGCCCTCTGGGTGAGGAACTTTTTTCTACTATCCAACTTAAACCTTCCCTGACACAACTTCAGACCTTTCCCTCAGGTCCTGTCACTGGTCACCAGAGAGAAGAGATCGATACCCTCCCCTCCACTTCCCTTACAGGAAGTTGTAGACTGCAAAGAGGTCTCCTCCAGGCTGAACAAGCCAAGTGTCTGATCTCAGCCTCATCCAGCTTGCCCTCACCATCCTCATGGAGTACTGTGTCCAGTTCTGGGCCCCTCAGTTCAGGAAAGACATTGAGGTGCTGGAGCAGGTCGAGAGAAGAGCAGCCAGGCTGGTGAAGGGACTTGAACACAAGTCCTTTGAGGAAAGGCTGAGGGAGCTGGGGTTGTTTAGCCTGGAGAAGAGAAGGCTCAGGGGAGACCTCATCACTCTCTACAACTCCCTGAAAGGAGGTTGTAGCCAGGTCGGGGTTGGTCTCTTTTCCCAGGCAGCTATTGACAAGAGGGCATGGTATTAAGCTCTGTCAAGGGAGGTTTAGGCTGGATGTTAGGAAGAAGTTCTTTACAGAGAGGGTAATCAGGCATTGGAATGGGCTGCCCAGGGAGGTGGTAGATTCTCCATCCCTGGAGGTATTTAAGAAGAGACTGGATGTGGCACTTTGTGCCATGGTTTAGTAACTGTGGTGATAGTGGATCAAGGGTTGAACTTGTTGATCTCAGAGGTCCTTTCCAACCCATCTGACTCTATGATTCTATGGCCCTCTTTTGGACACTGAAATAGCATTATGTCTTTTTTTACATTGTGGCACACAATATTCAAGGTGAGGCTGCCCCAGTGCAGAGCAGAGCGGGACAATCTCCTCCCTCGACCGGCTGGCAATGCTTTGCCTGATGCCTCCAGGACACAGTTGGCCCTCCTGGCTGCCAGGACACTGCTGACTCATGTTCAACTTGCCATCAACCAGGACCCCCCATATCCCTTTCTGTGGCACTGCTTTCCAGCATCTCATTCCCTAGTCTGTACGAACATCCCTGGTTGCCCCATCCCAAGTGCAGAATCCATCACTTTCCTTTGTTGAACTTCATATGGTTGGTGATGGCCTATCTCTCCAATTTTGCAAGGTCTCTCTTCAGGGCCTCCCTGCCTTCAATGGAGTCAAAACCTCCTCACAGTTTAGTATCATCAGCAAACTTGCTTAGTATGGCTTTGAGTCCTACATCCAAGTTGTGTTATTCTTCACTTCAAAATTTCTTCTAAAGCCCTGCATGGTACTCAAATCAGGTTGCAGGGCTCAACTCACTAGTTTTTTTTTTTTCCCTTCCCTTTGAGGACTGTGTTTGCTGCTTTTCAGTTATGTTGTTGTCTTCTTCAAATTCATAGACACATGACAAACACTAGCTATCAAACCTAGATTCATATGCTGATTCTTGCAGTGTTTTTCTGATAGAGATTATCTACTTTCTGCTGAATGTGCTAAGCTCCTGGAGTTTTCTTTCCATTCATTTGTTATTTTTATATCTATGTGATATAGATAATTCCCATTATGTTCCTTTTCTTCTTTTCCAGTATCGTCCTACTTGTAGAAAACTGATTATTTCTTCAGCTATATCTAGAATCCATTTAATCACTATCCAGTGTAATTTCATGATAACTTCAACTTTTATTTCCTTTTTAATATTGTTAATAATCTTTCCACGGTCAACATTACCTTGATTTTTGGTAATTCTTCCTTTATACCTCCACTTCCTGTCCTTCAAAACATCATTTTCTTTTTTTATATGTATATTTCCGTCTATGCTTTATGGGATCCTTGTCTGTATGTAAGAACCTATTTTGTGTTGACTATTCCAACTAGAGGATGGTTTGCAATGACCTTTTACAGTTTTTTCTCTTTGGTTGAAAAACAAATCTAAATACATAGTTACTTCTCTTTTAAAAAATGTTATACTATTGTAGAGAGAATTCTCTGTGCTCTACCTGGTTCTGAAATACGCAATCGTACTTTAAAGGTTATTTTTAATCAGTAAGCAAACATTCAAAATTAAGCAATACCTTTGAATATTCTGAGCTGTTCCTGTTTCACTAAGAAGGAAGCTAATCCAGAGCCTCAGATGTAGCTGTGCATCTGTGAAAGGCAGCAGCCTTTGAGAAGGGCCCTATGATGTGCTGCTGAAAGAATGTGATTTATTATATTTTTTCATTGCTATACTTAGTTATGCAGATGTTGTAACTGCATAAAAATGCAGCAACAGAATGTACATAGGGTTATTTGAATGTCTATCCATGTACATGTGTAACTGTGCCTAGTGCACATGTAGGTTAGTATTTATGTGCATAGTAGCGCACGGAATGCCAAAAATTTGACCTTAGACTTCAGATTTGTAACTGTTTCGCTTTGTGTCTTTTGAATTAAACATCCAACTGTTGTGGGAGATTCTACCTGAGTATTTGCACAGTTTTTCCACCCATACTCCCCCTAATGTTTTCAGAGGTGAGGAGCGTGCAAAGCACCTGGAGGCATTCAACTTAACTCTTCTTTCCTCCTGGCAGAGTCCCCCTCCTGCTGTGCTAGTGGGAAGTGCTGGCTCTGGGGATAATGACAGGCAAGAGAATTTGGGTTTTGTCAGGGTGCATCAGGGATGCAGGATATGATGTGCCCCTCTTTTCTCCAGAAGATCAGCCCAGACAGAATGGTAATTAACATGGAAGAGAGGAAAATGCAACCACAGCAGTTTTCCTACTTGGGGTATTTAAGTCACATCCTGAGGTGGTTTTGCCATCTTCATATGGCTGAAAGGAAAACACTGACATTTGGACTGGTCTGATGTTTTCTGGATGTATTTGTGGTCTTTACATACCTGCCTTTATTTTTCATATTCAAAGAAGAAGGAAGATTATGTTTGGTTTAAATGCTGAAAACCATAAAACTGTTAGCTAGCTACAGGTAATAATGGTTACATTTGAAGAAGCAGATATGAGGATTTTGTTTATTCAGCCTGTATCAGAATCAGATGAGAAAGAGTTGCAAGACTAAGCATCTAAGCATGGTCCTGTCTGCAGATTACATACAAATACAAATGAAACCTACCTACTCTGCAGACACCCTTAGCATTTAAAGTGCTACAAGAAAGTCACATGAGCTGTGATGCTACAGCAGAATTTGCTACCAAATCCTCTGGATACTTAAAGACACTGCAGAGCTCAAACTTCTGGTCTTGATATTGTTATTCTTACTCTTAGGAATAAATGTCCCGGTCCTGTATGTCTGTGAAGTGATTCAATACTGTCTGACTTTGCAGGGAAATGTAAGCAGCTTGGGTGAGCACGAAATTGTTGCTTTCCTGTAGTCTCTCTTGGATTTTGTAAAACCTGCTCAGTGTTTCCCCACTGATTGTTAGGCACCACCAACTAAAATTCATTTGCAGTGACCCTTACTAATGCTTGAATGTCTGGCAGAATTAGGGCATGACCTTTGGAAATAATGGGGGTTCTTTTTACATCATTTGAAACCAGCAGGATCTGTTAGGAGCTCTAGAAATGAGATTGTTACTGTTTGTAGTTATAAGAAATCTGTACTTGAATGTATCTGACAGAGGGCTGCCTATTGTGGACTGTGAGAGTGCAGTTACCTGACAGGGCTTTGGAAATTTAGAGACTGAGGTGTGTGATGGTTCCACAGCACGCTGTTCAAAAAGCCTCACAGATGTGATAGATGAAATCAGAGCACTGAAAGAAAGCCAACAAGTCAGCTCAGTGTCCTCAGCTCAGGCTCTACTGAGAGGATCTCTTCAGGTACCTGCTTAAGGTCAGCATTATCTGAAGGGAAACTGTTTACCCAAACCGTGTCCTCGGGCCAGGAAGGCAGGAACGCTCTCCCAGGGTACACGGCCACTGCTGAGAGGGCTGTTTTCCAGACATCATCATTTTGCAGGGCCACACAGGCACCAGCAGATCAGTGTTTGTGCTGGTCACACTCTGGGCGGAATGTATTAAATCTGTCCTTAAAATGTCACTTTCATGTAGGTTCGTGTAACAGAATGGGGATTATTTTGAGGCAACCTGTGAGGGAGCAGTCCTTGGCAATCAAACAGACAAGCAACAAAGCCTGGCACATTTGTTTGAGTTTGCCACCTGCAGGTCCCACGTTCCCTACCCTGCCAACGAGCCCATTTCTTTGTCTCCAGAGCTCTGCTGCAGTTCATCTTCCACAGAGGACGGTTCTTCTGTAGTGGAGCCAGGGAGCTTGGGATATTTCTGGCCTGAATGTGGAGGGCCAACACAACCTAATGCCAAGCTAAATTCAATTGTGCTATACACCACAAGGGAATTCCAGTTCCTATTTTGGTATTCCAAGGACACGATCCTTGGGTAAAGCTTTCACTTGGTCAATAACCCTTTTGCAAAAGAGGACATCCACATACTTGCAATGGCATGTTACCATCTGTAGTGTGGTGACCCATGGGTGGACATGTTGCTTCCAGGTCTGGAGGATAACAATGGGTTTCTTGGAGAAACCAAGGGAACATATCTGTGGAATGGCTAATGGCAATTAAAAATTGCCATACACGGTGGCTGTAGCAGTTTTGCTCAAAATTGTCTCTGAATGCAACAGTCTGAACCAGCAGGAATGATTAAGTTTAACAGGATGTCAGTAAGACAAGCAACATTTACTGCTTTCATTGCAGTGTTTTTTAAGACCTGGGGATCCTTTTAAAATTGTAGTATGGTCTATATATGTGTATAAGAAGACCTCAATTACTTAGAAGTGACAGGGCTAGATCAATAACTATGATGTTATTTCTGAAGCATGCTTTACTAGTTCTGGAAGTTAAATATGGTGAGATTGTTTTACAGATTTAAGGTTTGATCAGTGTGTTATAAATATGTGTGCTTATATGTCATGTTTGTTTTGCAGCTCCTGGTTGCTAAATCACCTGTTGCTCCATTCTCCGCTTTTTTCTACACCATTGAGAAATCAGGCTTGGTTCTTCAGGGTAAGACCAGAGCATTGGTTGTTTTGCCTTTTTAATTAGTATTTTAAGCAGACTGAATGTAGATAACAGCAACTATTGTTGAAAATGTTGCTATTTATGCCTAATTAAAGCCCCACACATTTAAACAGTCTGGTTGACAAGGGCAGCCTTGTGCTGCATTTACTGATTTGTCTTGGATTACACTAAACGAAGTTTTTGCATATTCCCATGGATCTAGGAATGGGCCCTGAAATTATTAATCAAGGCTCCCTGTTTTCCTTCAAGGTAAGGTGGAATGGTTCTGGTAATGTTGGTCCTGTGGGACAGATTTCTTTGGGAAAAACATATCCATCTATCATGAATAACCTGCTCTAATAAATGTCTCTTCTAGAGCAAGTAGCTCAACATCAGTAAAAATACAGGAAATTATTATCTGTTTTCTTTATTTGTGATCACTTTAACGCTAATGCCCCATGGTCTTAAATAATCTTCAGATTCTCTAGGATATGAAGTAGTATACTGACAAGCTGGATATAACCACCATGATGGCAGGGAACTAGGATTCCTTGTGACCGTGTCCTAAATCACATACTTTCAGACCACAGCAAAGAAAGAAGTTCAGCTCTTCCTTTCTTTTCCCCATTTATCCCAATAAACATCCTTACTTTTTGACAGACACTGATGGATCAATTCTGTTGAGTTGCTGTCTGTTGATACGCAGCCTGGCTCCTTATTGCTGCGTCAGTTTAACAAACTAAATAAAACTAGTCAGTGCCTGTCAGCTTTTGTTCAGAAGAGACAGTGTGATATTCAGCCACAGCAGTAGAAAAGTGAGTATAGCTGTTTCTCAGGTTCCAGTGACTGGGAATCACTGATCCCATGAGTGACTATGGACATTTTAAAGGATGTGAACAGTTCTTTCTGACTGCATTGTTTTTCACCTTCAAACAGGCTGTACCATACCAATGACATTTGTATTTCCTACTGACTCAATGTGATTACATCTCAGGTGATGCAAAATGTCAGAAAACAAAAGAAGCAAAAGTGTTTTGTGGTGTGTTTTTGTTTCCATTTGATACATCTACATAATGATAATGGGGAGAGGGGTCCATCTGGTGTTTCTAAGCCTTTGGATACTATACTCAGTGTATTCTTAGCATTTTGGGCATTTGATCTGCCTTACTTGGTAGCAGTAATTGTAAAAGTCTGTAGGAACTAGAAAAAAATTTTATTAGTTTTAACTGAGGTTACATGCAAAAGTTGGTCTTGACATGTTTAGTTTCAGTGTAGGGCTGAAGATAAGCTACTTTTCTATCTTGGATGTCTTCTGTGGATGTCTTCTGGGTTGTATAGATGTTTCTGGTCATTATAAAAAAAATCAGTTTCCTGCTCTGTCCTCAGGCACTAATGTAGTGAAACTTTGGGAAAGAAAGTTTTCCCATTTCAGAAACAGAGAGCATTTGTTCAGAGAGGATGTTTATTTTTTTCAGTTCTTTTCTGTGAGCCATGAATATAGCTTTACCAGGACTGAACCCTACCTTTAAAGAACAAATGGGCCTGTTTACACTTAATGATGATGGAACAGCATTCTCTGATAGAAGGATTTCACTGTATTAGGAGTGTGGCGATTGCTGATTTCCCTATATCTTTATGTTTCTGGGGTGTAAATTTAAAACATCATTTGCCATTTTTCTAAAGACAGGTGAGATACGAGTTTGGATTTCTTTAAGTAAATAATATCTCAGTATCAGGCATTCTTTGTACGTTTTGAAAGGCAGCTAGAAGCTTGTCTTTGTATGAGCCTTTTATTACTTTGACTACACCATTATGTTTCTACTTCAGGTATTTTTCTCCAACATGGGTAGCAAGGAAGGGCATGGTTCCCCTGATAATGTGCCCCAGACAGTTTTACAGAGACTTGTAAGCACTTACATGTGAGCCATCTCCCTGGCTTGTGCAAAGTAAACATTACATGTTCTCGTCCCACATTTCAGTGATCATTATTTCTGTGGAAAAAGGAAGTGAGCAAATCACCAGGAAATGGCTGGCTTGGATTAGATGCAGAAAGTGGCACCAGGCTGCCTTGTGCAAGAGAAGCTAGAGTTTTCCTGAGAGTTGTAGTTGGTGCTTCCTTCCAAAGAGAAGCTGGATACAAGGTAAGATGACAGTCAGGTAACTCGCCATGGATCAGCCAGTGAGGGAATATCTCTGCATTGCTGCTTAAGAGACATCATGTAGCACTAACAAGTGGAATCTGTCCCGCAGCCTGACTGCAAAGGCAACTCTCCCATTCAGGCTTTGTTGTTTAATTCAGTTGGTGTCAGGAGGTGAGCACATTCAGTGTGGCTGATGGGAACAAGTGGATGGGTGTGGGAACTGGTGAGAAGCAGCAGCTGGCTGAAGTGCCCAGGATTCTTTCTTTTTACGCAGGGGGTCCCATCCCGGGACCATTAACCAATAGGCCATAAACAAATTGATATCGGAAAATGTGGCTGGAAGCTCCTTGATTAGCGAGGGTGAATGGGGAATGAAAGACAAAGTGAAAGTGTGATTTAACAGTTCCACAAGCAATTTCCATTGCCACCTCTGAGGGATTAGGATGTGTGGAATAGCCTAAAAAAAAAAAAAAAGAGTAGTTCTCCCCCTCTTTGTTCTGTGGACTGGAGGATAATAAAACGGCAGGAGAGGCAGTGCGGCTAGTTAGGGATTTCACAGACTGCTATTTGATGCAGTTTAAGGAGCCCTTCTGCTATTGTTGCAGTTAAAATGAGAAGCGGAACTGTTCTCCATTCGCAAAAATCTCCAGCGTCCTCAGGAAGAGGGCTGAGAGCAAAAGGCTATTAAGATGGTAATGCTGCCCCATTTGGAGGAGTGTATCAAAATCCTCTTTGTCAATGTAAATCGCTGTTCTGTTTCCCTGGTATCTTTGCATCTCATGGCCTGTGCAAGCATAGAAGTTTTTGGAGGAGACTCTAGTGAAGGCAGAACTGCTTCTTTTTTATTGTCAGAGGAGATCTCCCCTCTGCCTAAGGGTGCCATGGAGAAAACTTCTTTGATTTTATAAACTTTAAATGTTCAGGGATGAAGAGAATCCGTTTACTCACTCACTCTTTTATTTCCACTTTCAGACTAAAGAAATTAAATTTGATGATTCAAAAGCAAGTCAGAGATTTAGCAAGGAAACTCTTGAGTCTCCTCTTTTTTTGCTTCAGTATGCTCTGTGCTATGGAAGGAGTGGACTGCAAACCCAAAAATATCCCTCAGTTGCCTTTACATTGCAATACAATGTCATGTCATGTACTGCCTTGCTGTACAGTGACACTCTGTAATAAACCTAGTTGTGAGTGCAGAATAGTCTGACAGCAGATCTTTATTTTGCAGAGATCTTAGACAAAGAGGCAGAAGTGTGGATCCAAGCACTGCAAAATATTGGAAGCTTAATTGTCAACTTGTGTATGCTGTTTAAGAACTTGCTGTTGCTTCCCTATTTCAATATGCCAGTTAAAGTGAGTGCAGTTTTACTGTCAAAAAGAAAAATAATAATAAAAAGCTACAGATTAGTTAAGAGTGCAAGTCATAAAATGATTTTTCTCATTGGCAGTGATATAATTTCTGGTTTGATTGGAAATTATTAGCTGGTAATTCTGTTCCTAGTGTAACAGTCAGAAGAGATTCTGAGCTGTTCTTGCCTAGTTGTAGTTTTGTTGAAGTTGAATGTAGCACATACTGGGTTAGGTCAGCTGAACTATAAGATGCCACTTAGCCTTGCACACACATATGCAAAAAACATAGGCTGAATAAACTGATGTCAGTTTTAATCTGTATTCTGTGGGTGATTACCTGAGTCTAGTTTTAGAAGCAGTGGTGTTCTGGGACATAAATACAAGCTAGCAACAAGCCTAGCTAATAGCAACTGATAACTCTGCTGTTTGTGGAAGTCTCATTCCATCTTACTTAAGTAAATGCCTTCTGTTACCAAGAGGATGGTGTTGTGAAAGAAGACAGGGAACACGGTGGCTGCTTGCCAACTGAAGAGTCTAGTGGGACTTTTCACTGAATGCTTTAACTAAGTGATTAACATTGCTCTTCACTTTCAGAAGCACTGGAAACATAAGGCAAATTATATTAGTGAGCTAGAACTTGCTTTCGAGTAGTGATTTCTTTTCATAGGGTTGTAAGATAGGTAGAATGAGCAGTTTATCCAAACTGACCTCCCATATGTCATACATGTTTCTTTCAGCTACCTGGTAGCTTACATTACGCTGAATCGTGTCTTTTACAAAGGTACTCACTTTTGTTTGAAGACATCAAGAAATGTGAGTTCCTGCTTTGCCTTGATAGTGTTTTCAAGTTTTAGCTATCTTGCTGCTAAACACTTGTTCTGTATTTCAGATTAGAATTTGTCTGCCTTCAGCTTTTAGCCTCAGTTCTTTTCATGACCTTCAATGCTAAATAAAGCTCTGTTGTTGTTAAATGGTTGCTATTTTTCATGAGTGTACTTGGCATTATGATTTCTCTTGCTATGTTTTACTCTTCCTTTTGAAAGAAAGTTATAACTCTGTAAATATAACCTCAAAACTTTTGTGTGTCATGCTGACTGGCTCTCCTCACTACTCACAGGAAGGACAGAATACCTTGTATTGCTAAAGGGAAGAGTTTGGAGTTTGTGCCACAGGATGGGATGATTACTTAGTTGATTATTCTACCCTTTCTCCTGCTCTCTTTTCCACTGCACATAATCTGTCTGAACACAAACGTGCTCGCCTTGCATGTAATGTCTTATTGAGGCAGGTAACTTCTGATAAGTAGAAACAAAAGAATTTGGCACTTAAAAGAGAGTTTGCTAGGTTTCACAGTACTAGGGGAAAAGTTCTAGTAACAGCTAAATCTATGGAAACCTTGGTACATTAGTTTCATTTGTCCCTAAAGTAATGAAAGAGGCTCATTTTGATCTCAAAATGGCATAGGGTCTGGGCTTGTAGTGCAGCATGGCAAACTGTCTCCAAAGTGCTGTAAGTAAT